TTTTTTTTTAACTTTTATAAGGTAGAAGTAATATGTTGGAAGGGAAAACTTATGTGGTTTTCCAAATCTGAAATGTTACTAATTGCTCACCAAAAGCAAAGCAAATTGAGTTAAAATCAGGAAATCAATATGAATATAATAAAATATTTTCCCCCTTTTCTTCTTTTTTCTTTTTCTTTTACCTTTTAAAGCTTCTATTTTATCAGGCTTTCCTTTATATTCTTTTGTAACATTTCTGATTCTGAAAAAAAGAAAAGATGCTTAAGGTGACAGTTTTCTTTTGTTCGTAATTCTGAGATTGAAGGAATCTTATCTTCAGGGTACATGAAGATTTAGAACTTCGCTTTCATGCGGTTACGGTTCTGTGACAGAATGAGTTGGAATATTACTTGCCAATCTTGGCTGCACATTAACATCACCTGAGGAGTTTTAAAAATGTAACTGGGCTTGAGATCCATCAGCAGAGGTTCCGATTCCACAGATTAGGGTACAACCCACCATTAGCATCGGTGAAAAGGGTCAGGTCTGAACTGCAAAGCTAAGGAAGGATAGACCAAGAGATAAGATGGACATCCAATACTGAAAGGCTCATGTGAACCTCTGCACAGGTTGAAGATGTCTGGTTATCTTGAGTCACGGTCTCCAGAGGTTCATTAAGTGGTGGAGTAAGGAAGAGAGTTGATATGTCATAATAGCAAGAGCACGGTTTTCACGGTCCTATCCACCTGAACACATCCCATCTTACCACCTAGTAGCTCTGTTACCTTAACCAATGTACTTACCAGGTAGGTTTCAGCTTTTGCTGCCTGAAATTTACAGTGCTTCAGGATTTTTTTTTGGGGGGGGGTAAATAAAATATTTCACCTTGCATGCACAGTGCTTGTTTTGTGATAAATGTTCAATAAACATAAGATAATATTGGTTAGATGATGATGATGATGGTGGTGGAAAAGAATGAAATTAACCGATGCTGGGTGCTGTTATAGATCTGGCATTCTAGGCACTTTATCTGCATGGTCGTTTTTTATTCTACCAGGTAAGAATATCATCCATAAGCTAAATCAAATTTTTGTCTCTCATTTTGTCACCTACTATTCACCAAATGATTCAGGCTCCATTCATATTAAACTGTTTCATTAGATTTTCTCATTGCTGTTTTAATCTCATGTTACCATCAATCCATAGCATTTACAGTTGGATGATGTGCTAAAGAGATTGAAAAGATACAAAAAGAAATACACAAGCATATCAAATAAAGACATTTCTTTTTTCTGAGATGCCCTGCTAGATGTTAAACCTAGCGTAGGTTGCAGGACAAATATAAGTATGGAAGATAAATATGGAACAGGTGAAAATGAAAAAAGAGTAGGACTCCAGAAGCTGAGCAGCCTGGAGTAATCTGAGACTGTTCACAAGGGACCGACATGTGCTACCTGTTGATGGATGAGTAACATTTGAACAGTCAGGGGCCTTGAGAGCTTTCTTCCTATTTTCTTATTGGAAATAAAAGTTACCAGCACGCCCCAAAATGAACATTTTTTTTTTCCTTTTTCTCTTTTTTTACTGACCGGCAACGGGATCGCAACCCTCGGTGTTGCGCCCGCACTGCGCTCAGCCAGTGAGCGGGAACCGGTCTCCACATGGGATCCAAACCCTCAGCGTGAGCGCCACCATGCTCCCAAGTGGCGCACTCTCCAGTGTGCCACCGGGCTGGCCCCAAAATGAACATTTTGTTGTCACACAGAATGAAGATATATATGACCCTAAAGGGCACATTTTCCTGAATTCCATGTGTGTCTATCTCTAGGCCTAGTCTCCCTTCCTCTTCTTTACTCTTTCATCTTCTTTTAAAAGACAATAAATAGAAAAGGAAGAGAAGTTTAAATTGAGAGAAAAAGTGGGGACTATAGTAAATGAGATGGGGACAAAGTGGGAATAAGTGGGACCCGACCAAGCAATAAAGGTGGCTAAAGAGGGAGAAGAGAAACATCAGATAAAAGATTGGGAATCCGGGCAAGGGTTTTGTCAAATTATCTTCACTGGTGAAATTTAGGTTTTTATTTAACGTAAGTGTCAGCAACGTAAGACTGCAAGGGGTTGGTGAAGGGATTTCTCCTTAAAAGTTGAAATGGGAAGTGATGGATACAGCGTGGGTGAGGTTGGGTAGGAATGGTCTACAGAGCATAACACAGAACTTTGCTTGCCTCAAGTGCTATTTGCTTCCCAACCTTTGGTCTGTTCTTTAAGAGCATCCTTCTTACCTGATGGCTTCTTTCCCATGGAATTCTGGAGACACTGGTTCAAAAGAGTCATTAGATGAAGAAGGACCAGAATCTATTGCATCTTCTAGGGCCACACATTCAGCCTTTTGCTGTCGTGACCAAAATGAGGACTTCAGGAAACACAAGGGTGGATATCGATGTCCGTATTCATCTACATGACCAGGAGACAATTAAATATTGGGTCAATCACCACGTTAAGGGAGAGAGTCACATGCAAGCAGCATGACAATGCAACCCCTTTGCTGCTAAAACCTGAACATGTGGTCAACACAAGGTAATGCACATGGTTTGACATGTGTAGGCTTCATAAGGAAAAAAATCACTAAGATGTCTCTATTATAGTAATTGTTCCTATAGGAAGCAATGAAACTGTGATTTAAAAAAAAAATTAGGGAGGAATTTAAATAAATGTTCAGAATTTTCCTAACCTCAAGAAAGCCAGATATCGGAACACAAATGCAAGATATGCCAGGCATGCTGAACTCTGTCTAGGAGACCAGGTGTCATTACATTGGCAAAGGAAGAAGAAATTCAGACGTGACTATTGGATATATAAAACAGATATTCCAAGAGAAAATAGAATAGGATTTAACAAAAATAAATGGCACACTTGTAAGAAAGGGAGAGAATGAGGCAAAAGAATTTAAAGAATTTATTGAAACAACACAGAGTGTATTTTTTTAAAAAGTTACTTTGTATTTCTGCTTTATTTCATCCCAAAACAATAACTTTCCTCTGGAGTGAATTTATGATCTTATTTAATAACATATTGTCTGTAAACATCCTGATGGAAACAAATCCACAGTGCAGTTGCACTTTATTGTCACTTCTATTTTCTTACACTAGGAAACACTATTAAATACAAGAATCACATTCCTATGGTATTCTGCAACCGATCTCCACTCTAAGGTTGATGGATTTTCAAATTTATGTGTACGTTTCACATGTTCAGTCCTTTACACAGTAAATATTTTTCTGGATACCTGGCATCTGGTACGCCATTAGTTAGTACCTATCTCTTCCCCTCGATGAGGAAGTCTAGCAAATGAAACACGCAGCCATGCTGGATGCATTCTGCCACCAGATTTACTATTACATGATTCTGTTGTTTTATCCAGTTAATTTTTCTTTTTGTCACTTATATTTATTATCTTTAAAAGAATTTTGAGCAAAGTCACCTCTGGTCTCAAATTCAGTCTCAGTGAGTAGATAATCATTAGGAATAAAATTGAACAATTAAGTTATTTTGGATTTTAAAAACTTCCTTGTTATAGTAATAAAATAAAATGCTTTTGAAACTGGAAAAAGTGTAGGTGTGAAAAATGTCTTTGTGACTAGAATAAAATGTTGAGGAAGAAATAAGATACAGGGATGAAAATGTAGCAATACTTGATATTAGGTAACTTGATAAAACACATAAAATAGAATATTTAAAGTAATATCATTAAAATATGTTTGAAACAAGGACTAAAAAAGATTAAATATATATGTCACATGATGCACACCAAAAGAAAATTTAAATTGATTAGAGAAAACAGTTACCTAACAGGACACTATTAAACAATTATAAGTATAGTGACATCTGTTTGTGGGTACACTGGGAATAAACATGTTGGAAAAACAAACAAATAAGAAGGAAAATACAAGTAGCATCTTTTAAGATACAGAAGAAAAAAGGAAGAATTACTTATTACAAGAGTAAACCTCCTCAACTAACTGTGCACCAGGGCTAAAGACTCTACAATATAAACACAACAAAGGTTGTGATTTCACCATAAAAGCAGAATCACAAAAGCAGAACAGAGGAGAAAGTACTTATTTTTCTTAAAGTACTTATATTTCTTAAGTAAGCAATGCTAGCAAGGAATAGAAAAGCTTAGAATATTAGTAAGTGAAAAAAATTTTTTTTTGCTATAGCCAAATCATTTTTACCTGTGCTGGAAAAAATAAAATGAAAACATATTATAACTATTTCTACAATTCTAACTGTATAATAAATGTCTTAGCCAAAAATTGTAGACCCTGACATCTATTATTCTGGGTTCTTCTAAAAGGCAGAGATAGTTATCATTCCTAAGGGATTGTCTAAAAGACACATGATCAATTCCCTGCCTCAAGACATGGCTCTGTGTTTTTGCTCCCACCCTTTCCCCTCTTTGCTTTCTACTAGTGTTTGTTCATTGCTTTATTAATGAAAAACTCCTGGCATTCAGTCTTGAGCAGGAAATTCAGAGAGGAAAGATACAGGTCCTGCTTTGCAATGTAAAAGGAGGGAGAGAAAAGTGAACCAGCATCTCAGCCTCAAGTATTTACTGAGTCCCTAGTGTGTGACAGACAATGAGGCGGGTGCTTGGGTGACATCTGTGAACAAAACAGATTCCTGCTGTTGTGGAACTCATCAGAGTCTTGTAAGTTGCAAGGCAATAAAGGTGACAATTTATGTCATATTGAGTCTCCTATTGTGAAATTCTGCAGAGATTTTTCAATATAGGAGTGCCCTGGTCCCACCACTGATTAACTGAATCAGAATCTCTTCCAGATGAGCTGGGCTTAGTCATTCTTTAAAGTTCTTCACATGGTTTTGATGTGCAGCCAGGGCTCAGAACCAATGAGCTAAATAGTTAGACAAAAGCAGCTGTAAATTTCCATGATTACCAGACTCCTTTAGGAACTAGCTTTCTAAGCATCTCTTTAAAAAGTAACAGGCCGTGTTGGCAACACCAAGATCATGGGTTCAGATCCCCTTGCTGGCCAGCTGCCCAAAATAGAATAAAATAAAATAAAAACTAACAGGCCATAACAATTAGAGTAGAGTGAAGTTCAGACAAAGGTTAGTGATGATCCTATAAACAAAGAAAGATCACAGTGGTGTGCTGGACTTGCAGAGGGAGAAAGCATATATAGTTTTGCATGCAGGGGGAGGGTAGGGGAGGGAGGTCAGGAATTAATTTGGTGGGGGACATGGGTAATAATTGCAATTTGTGGTAAGTGGCGTCCTGACACTATTCATCTGACCATCACATCCTGGCCACAGGTGGTGAAGTTCAGCTTTGTACCCCATGAATATGCCTAATCAGTAAAATAAAATAAAATAAAATAAAGTCCAAACAAAATGTCAATACGAAAGTCTCCTTCTCAAAATGATGAAATTAGAAAAATGCTGAAGTACACCAATTTAATAAAAGAAAGCCCAAACAAAATGTCAATATGAAAGTCTCCTTCTCAAAATGATGAAATTAGAAAAATGCTGAAGTACACCAATTTAATAAAATAATTTGATGAGCAAAAAACAAGAAAGAAATGAACTAATCTGGCCTGTGGCAACAACGTTGTTCACCTTCTTCCTGTTGATGTACAAAGTGGTTCTTGAAATATAAATAATGTGTGTGTTAGGAGATTCATTTTAGGAAATAAAATTATGAAATGATGTTTGGTTTTAATCATATCACTACTCACTTGACAAAACTTTTTCAAAGTAAATCATCAGTGCCAGATAGAGTAGGGTATCAAATGCCAACATGAAATTTGTCGCTATAATTAGATTTGAGCCGCCCGATGGATCAGGAAATGCATTAGAATTCAAATCATAGTCCAAGTGTAAAAGCTGAAAATTAAGAAGTAATTAATTAAAGGAAATTAGGCTTATAATAAATGTTAAACAGTTAGGTCTGGCATAAGAATATGATGTCTACTTATTGTCTCATATTGGGAATAGAAAGTTAAATAAGGAGATTGCCTACCTTGTGGTTCCCAAATCCTTTGAAAGGCATGGACATGTGACCAACTATAATGTAATTTAGTCATTGCTATGATAAAAAAAATGTTTCAAATGAAATTGGAACAGTAGGAGGAGGTGGAAAAGTATGGGAAAAGATGACATTTGAGCTTGAACTTAGATAAACTTTTACCCAATAGGACATGGTCAAAAGGTGAGGTACTCCTGGAAAACGGCTTCATGAGGAAGAATTTACACAGTGGGGAGAAAGCGCTGGTGTTCTTAAGGAGGACCAGTGGGAAAACTGGGCTGTCTATAACGTTTAAGTTAATGAGTGCTTTATGATCAACAGTCACTTTGTTAAGGACTAAATAATGGATATTTAATAATTGGCATTGCCATTTAATTGGAGGGAAGGTAAGGGAAGTTCAGTAAGAATCAATTAAATAGAAAAGACATTTTATAAACAGAAACATAATTTACTAATCAATTAATGTGCTTTCAAGGTGTTTTTAACATTTCATTGAATTTTATTTTACTTTGTGGTTTTTACAGTCATATGTGCTCTTCTTCTTATTATTAAGTAATAATATGAACTGAAATAGTTATTTAGGATTAGATTTGTAATATCAAATTCATATTTAATTAATAGCTTAAGACAGCATGTTATTTTGTTTTATAGAATTACATATTGATCCTCCATTTTTTTNATAGAAAAGACATTTTATAAACAGAAACATAATTTACTAATCAATTAATGTGCTTTCAAGGTGTTTTTAACATTTCATTGAATTTTATTTTACTTTGTGGTTTTTACAGTCATATGTGCTCTTCTTCTTATTATTAAGTAATAATATGAACTGAAATAGTTATTTAGGATTAGATTTGTAATATCAAATTCATATTTAATTAATAGCTTAAGACAGCATGTTATTTTGTTTTATAGAATTACATATTGATCCTCCATTTTTTTTCCACTTTCTACATGGCTTATTTTGCTGGGCTAAATACTTTCAAAGCTTTTAAAAGTTCATCTTCGCAACCTCACAAGATTCTTCACTAGGGTTTTAAACCTTACAATGCTGAACATGAACATGACTGACTACAGACTACTGAATTCCAGACAGGGAAAATGTCTCAGACATGTCATTAATATACAACGAGACAGCTTCTCACCTGGGCCATTCCAAGCATGAAGGCAAAGGGGCTAAGAAAACTTAAAATCCACTCCACGGACTCAGGAAGATATCTGTACAATGCTGTGAATCCCAGACTCCCCAAAAAGACAGTGAGAAGGAACACGGCCAGGCTGGTGAGGAAAGATTTTTTTACCAAGACGCTCATTAAGAAAGCCAAAGCTATCTGAAATGAGAAAAGACCTAGTTGCTTTATGTTTCTCTAAGAATTATTAATAGCATAAAAAATAAGGTATTCAATATACAACATTTTAGTTATACTATTATTTTGTGTATAACATGCAAAACTATGTTCTGCACATTGTACTAAAAATTGGCATTACAAAACACCACAAACACCGAACTTTCAGGGATCATTTCTATAGTTTGTTACAGAACACCACAAATTAAATTGTACCTGCCTATAGAGTTTCACATGTAAACAGAGCAGACAGAAAGGAGAAGAGGTGTGTAGAGTCATCACCTAATGGGAAACCAACACTTCTGTATAACATGCAAAACTATGTTCTGCACATTGTACTAAAAATTGGCATTACAAAACACCACAGACACCGAACTTTCAGGGATCATTTCTATCGTTTGTTACAGAACACCACAAATTAAATTGTACCTGCCTATAGAGTTTCACATGCAAACAGAGCAGACAGAAAAGAGGTGTGTTGAGTCATCATCTAATGGGAAACCAACACTTCATTGTTAGACTAAGATTTGAATGGAGAGAAATTTAATTCACCAACTCACCAAAGACAATCCATACAGGAGAAAGAGGGTGAAGACCACCATGAAGCCAGTCAGAATGACAAACTGGACTGATTTTATAACAAGTGCCAAGAAAAAGGCCATAATGGAGATGAAACCAGCATAGAGCAAACCCCAGGAAAGCCTAATGTGGAAACAAAATGTTTTTAGTATTTCTTGTTCAGTTGAAAAAAGAGAAACTGACATGACTCTAACACAATTTTTTCATTCATTCGTACATTCGTTTAGCAGATATTTATTGAGCGTTCTAGGATATGTAAATACAAGGCAAAAGTTTGGGGCAGAATTCTTTAGGAACTTGGAATTTTTTTTCCTAACATTTATTCCAGAAATACACATATACATCATTGTGAAAAAAAAAAAAGGAAAAATTAGGTTTTCAGTCTGGTAGATTTTGGTTCAGACATTTTGTCCGTAGCAGTTTACTCGTGACCTTGGGAACAATCCCTAGCCACTGTATGATTTCTTTATTTCTCTTGACAATAGGAAGAACTTGACGGTGAGGACTCAACAAGGTGATGTTAATTAGGACACTGTCTTGGTTCATGGCAGCTCCTCAATGAATCTCAGATCCTTTTCTCCTCTCTGGGAACTCTGTGTTGTAAAAAACTTCACACATTTCCTTAGAGGTAAGAAATTCTTCCTTATGTGTACTTCTGTCACCTCTTTTTCCAAAAGCTGTTTTCACCTTTCTCAGGATGGGTACACCAAGTAATCGACATAGTTGCCTTTAATTTCATTCATTTTCTATTAAGATAGGATGCTAAAAAATAATCCCATTTCTTTTGTCTCAGAATAGTTTCCTTTCCTCATCAATTTCTTTATCTTGTTTTACAATATTCATTGAAAACAGTAATAAAACAATAACAAGTAAAAAAACTTTAAAAAACAGCTGAAAAGCCAACAAAATAATAGCTGACACATATAGCAATTATTATATGTTGGGGAACGTTTAAGAACTTTGCAAATATTAAATCATTTGATTCTTACAATAGCCCTATGAGGAAATACTGTTATTGTCCAGAGGAATAAAGGAATTATAGAGTGGTTAGGGAGTTTTCCCAAGGTCACAGAGTAAAATGCTGCAGACAATATGTTTGAGCCAAAATCTATCAGACTGAAAACCTTATTTTTCCTTTTTATCACAATGATGTGTGTGTGTGTATCTCTGGAATAAATGTTAGAAAAAAGAATATTCCTAGTACCTAAAGAATTCTGCCCAAAGCTTTTGCCTTGTATTTACATATCCTAGAACACTCAGTAAATATTTTTCTCATTTTGTAGCGAGATAACCTAATGAACAGGAATGTTAAGTAACCATTTTTAATATCCAGGCATTCTGGCTCTGGAGGTTGAGATTTCACTGCTCTGCTTTATTTCCTTCCAATATTAATTCAGTAAAGAAGTCAATATTGATTTAAAAGATTTTTTAAATCCCCTAATTTAAAAAATTTGTTTTCTTTTTCATTGACAAGTAAAAATTGTATATTCTTATGGTGTACATGATGTTCTGCTATATAATCCCCTCTTTTTACGTAGGTATTTCCAAGCCACTGTCCTCTAGATGGAGCAGAATTCAGTGCTGTTGTTCAGTACCCTGCTCCCAACAGACCAAGTATAGAGTTTATAGGATTTAATATGGAAAGGAACTCTTCCAGGCTTTTAATTTGTTGCCATCTGCACAATCCACCTTCCTCCTCAGCTTCTCTGTTATTTCATTTCCTCCTCCCTACAAACCGTACCACTATGTCTTTTCAGTCAATTATTCACAAGTTCTCACGCAGAAACTTGTTCATTCTTGGAATTACTCAACCTCTGACATTTTAAATTCAAACTACCCAGCCTCGATTCACCATCCTATTCTGCCAGCTCATTTCCTCAGATACACCCGTCGTGTTTTCCAGTCTCAAAGGAGCTACTTACTGATCCTGGGCCTCTTTTTTTCCCTTTCAGTCCCGTCCTTGCTTGAATTCCACCTCTATCTGGCACAGACACCCATGTAACCTTTTCTCCCACCTTCTTACCAGTAGACTCCATGGCCACCCCCCATTATTCCTGCTTCACAATCACCCAGCAAACCCAAATCTGATGTTCTTTCTTCACTCAAAGAAGCATAGTAACATCCACCCTCAGCCTGGCAAACCTTATGCCAAGGACAATTTATTCCATTCATGGCGATAAAAGAAAAAGTAAAAAAAAAAAAAAAATCATTAGGTTTCATAAAGATGCTTTGAAGATGCCCACTTTCCCTGAATTCTTCCATTCATTTATTTGTGCGACATTCGTCTCACCAGAATGCTGAATCTCGAAGACCCATCATTGTCATGAAGCCCTTCATCCTTTTCCTCTCTCTTGCAATATTAATAGATGCATAGTAGGTGAACGGGGAAAAGGAAATAATGCAGATGAAAATAAAAAGGTCAGTTATAATCCCTGCTTGACCAATGAAGGAATGTATCTTCATATTTTTTCCAGTAACTGACATCAATTCCTCCATCGCTGAATGATTTGTTGTCACCTGAAGTAAGAGAATAATAAATAAAATTTGAATATTAATGAATGACAGGCTCTGTTTCCTTTTAGTCATCTCTTTTCCTATGTGTGTATAATTGGTCTGTTGGGATCTGATGCTAGCCTAAATTTCCACCTTTATGTCATGCCCTTGGCCCACTGGGAGCTTAGCGTCCAGGCATCTGAGCTACTCACGGTTTCCAGATTTCACTATGTGTTTTATCACCTCCCTGCCTAACATGGTTTGCTGGAAATACCTCTTCTGGCCTTATATATTTAGTAAACCCCTGACCTCAAGCCTCAAGTTTAAGTGTTATTTCAATTAGGAATTCTTCCATGGCATTCAAGGCTGAGAAGCTTTTGCTTATTTACTTACAAGGACTTTATTTACACTTCCATGAAAGCCTACTTCTGTTCTAATAATTTTCTTGTTATGTGCCTGGCTTCCTGACAATGTTGAGTCCCCGATGGAGATAATTTTTCTCTATTTGTGTCCGTATCCCTATCACGACATGTAGCAACTTTAGAAAGCGTTGTTGTAAAGACACAAATGAGAAAATGAAAGAACAGGGCTGTTTATATTTTCTCCCATGAAACTTTTGACACCTCTAGCATTAGTTTGCATTGGATATTTTGTACTCACTTCTATAATAGCAGCATTAATGGCAGCTTGAAGAGCCACAAAACCTTCCTTCCAGAATACTGAAACTTCACAGTCAATATCTTCATTTATTTCATTACAATGAGCTTTGTGAAAAAAAGAAACCATAACTATCATTATGGGTATTTCAATCTTGATTACAGGAAACAGTGGACTTTATAACGGCCTCTAATTCCAAATGTTCCTATTTTGACTCAAAGCCTATGAAAACATATATTATAGCAACAATTTTCAAAATGAGTTAGGTGCAGCACTCCCAAGGAATGAACGCTCTGTACTAAATTATAACACTGTAAGATTTTTCACATCATCTTTTGTGCTTTTCTGCCAATCAAGAATTTTGTCTTTTCTAATTCTTTTTTTTTTTTTTTTTTTTTTTTTTTGTCTTTTTCCA